AAAATAGATGTAGATTTGGTCATCTGATTCAGATCATTTGTTATTTCAAAAAAAAAAATTTTTTGTCGATTTGGTCCTTTTTCCCAGCACTCACCCCCTTATTATCTAATTATTCAATTAGAATTTACTGATTGGTTTTTTTCTATTTGAAAATAAATTTACCGATTGTTTCAAATTAATAATAATTTTAATTTTAAATATTTATTTGAAACAGAAATGTCAATATTTATCATTGCAAAAAAAATTAGCTTATTTTATTAAAAATTTTTTAAATTATTCTTCTGCTTTCAGTAAATTCTGATTTTATTTTGTTTTTGAAAATTCTGAAGATAAAAATAATAATAAAAAAAATAAAATAAAAAAAAAAGAATTATCTTAAAAAAAAAATAATATTTAAAAATAAGGACATTTGAAATTCTTCATCGTAATAGTAGAATTTGTTCGTATTAAGTTAGGTGCAGTTAAAGTATTCTACACTGATATTCAGTTGCTACTATAAAAAAAATTATTTAAGAACAATGAAAGAAGCAGTTTATTGCCAAAGCTTGCGTGTTGTATTGATTATTGGTTAAAAAGATAAATTTTATTTTATCTATCGATTTTATGTAATCGATTTTTTTAAATGAAAATCGATTTAAAGTCGTTAACAAAATCGATTTCCGACTTTTGAATTTTCGATTTCGATCCCTAGGCTAAGATGTGCTATCTGATGTAGCTTACAAATCCTTCTTTTTTTTTGATAATAAATATGTATCTAAAACATATAAAAATTAATATGTAACAAAAAAATATAAGTTCTGTTAATGTATTATATATTTTATAATTATAATACAATATTTGGATTCATTTCAATAAAAATATTTTCATATGGGTAAAACTGCGCATTCGCCCTAAAGGGCATGCTTGTTATCCCAAGATAGTGTCGAAAATTATATGAAATAGAAATTTATTTATAATTAAAGAGTTATATTTGTATACTAGAAACAGATTTATCTACAATGATTTCGAGAAAATTAATTTATTTAAAAGATAAAAAAGAAATTCTAATGTATAATAAACAATTAGAAATATATAGTAGATACAAATATAAACATGGTATTCAATCATAGTTAAGCACATTTATTTATCACTAGTAATGGGCATATTAGCCACCCAAGAAGGTGGGGTGATTCCCGTTTGCTCTTGAATTGTACTTAAAAGTGGGGGTAATGATTGAAAGATGTTTGCTACGGGGTTTGAAGAAGAAGTTGATTCTCCGCCAGTATTCCAAATACTAATCTTTGGATTAAGACCTTTAATAGCACTAGCATTTTCTTTTGCCAATTGTTGGAAAACATTACGTTCAACCATAATATATTGTAAAGCAGCGCTTCTATCACCACCAAAAGCTTGCATCAAATTCTTAACACCTTCAGCTTGGGCGTTATAAACGGCCAAAACACCCTCAGCTTCTTTTTGCTTTAAATAAAGTTCAGCTTCTGCTGCTTTTTGAGAGGTATATAATTTCGCATTCGCAATAGCTTTTGCAGCTTCAAATTCTGCTGTAGCTTTTGAAACATGTTGTACTCGTAATCTCTCTGTTTCTGATAATAATCTACGTTCTTCAACTTCTTTTTGTAATTCAAATTCGCGCATCTTTGCAGATTGAGATGCTTCAATACTTGCAACCTTAGTTTTCTTTTCGAATTCGGATTTTTTTGTCGCCAAGTTCATCTCCGCTTCTGCCATTTGCACTTTGCGTTCATTTTCAACGATAACAGTATCGGATTCAATCTTTGACGTTTCTTGACGGGTAAGACCTTCACGTTCTTTAGCTCCAACATCTCCCTTATATTTGGCCTCTGCTACATCAACTTTTGCTTTATTCACGGCACCTTCATGTGTTTTCATACGCTACATTCAAAAGAATCAGAACGAAAATTTGATCGTTAATCACGTGATTTCGAATCCCGTCACGAAAAAAAAATAACCATACCATGTAAGCAAAGTATTCAGAACCCTGAGTATCTTGAAGTTGTTTAACGTTAGCATTATAAATGAATAAACCGAATTGATCCAATTCAGCCTGAACATTTTTAATAACTTGATCTTTAAATCCTCTTCTTTCTTGAAAAATTTCTTCCATAGTCATGGCGGCGGCAATGACTCTCGTCTCCCCTTCAATGATACCTCTGACCAATTCTTTCACGTGATCACTATTTTTATCATTAGCTGCTAATAACTTTGCGTATCGTTCTAACGAAGATTTTTCATCTTTTGGTCCAATGGTGAATACTGCTGGTAGATTAAATTCCAGTTTTTCTGCAGTCATTGCCTGTAATTGAAGCGTATAATTGGCCGGTGTTATATCGAAGAATAGATACCTTTGACCTGGAAATCATAAAAAATAATTAAATAATGAAAGCGAATTGTTAAAGGAATTAGACGCGAAAACATGTCAAGTAAATACCTGGTAACACGAATGCCTTTTTAACTAATTTGACATCTTCAATAAAGGCACCAGTCTTTGCCATGTATTGATTGGGATTACTATCAAAAGTCATAATGCCATTTTAATTGGTTATGATTTTTAGGTAAAAAAAAAAACGAAAAGAAATATCACCTTACCTAATTCTATACATGATTACGAATTATTGTGTAGGGGATTGAAATTTTTTTTTTTAAAAAAAAAATAAAAGAATTGAGTTTGATTTAAAAAAGATTTATGTATTTTGGTAAAGATGGATGAAGTAAAAATCAAAAGTCAGCGAAAAAACTCGATGAATTTATGTAAAATTTTTTGATATTTGTCCCGTTGTTTTATCGAATTTGGGTTTTATCTTTTTGTTGATGAAGGTAGTAACTAACGTGACAGATATTGCGCATGTGACTGAAAAAAAAAACGACTCCATCAAGTAGGGATCCTCTAATGTTATAAAAAGAAATTCGAATGATATTTCATGACTTGAAAAAATCGGAATAAAAGGTTCGCAATTGTAGAGATAAAGGTAATTTATAGAAAGTTCTCATGGATTTATGATTTATAATATGTTTTTTTTTATTTTCTTTATCAGACCAATTTAAATAATATTAAAGAAATGATTTTTTTTTTTCCGCATTTCTTTACAAAAATAGTTAGATAATAACTTTCCGCAGTTACACAATCATCATAAATACTGCGAAATTATCGTCACACTTTTTTTTCACACCTAAACTTTTCAATATTGCGTCAAAATAAAATGTCTCTAAATAACGTAATTTTCAACGTAGGAGGGACAAAATTTGAAATATCAACCAGTTTATTACAAAAATATCCCAATTGTAAACTATCTGCCCTTACTAATAAGGCTTCTTCTGAAATCTTTATTGATCATAATCCTTTGGCATTTGGGGTGATCCTCGATTACCTTCGTTCTAACAAATTATTAGTACCAAAATATGTTGCCAAAGAAGTTGTTGAACTACAGTTAAAAGAGTTTAATATACCTTATGATAAAATTATCGAACCAGATATTATGAACAAAGATGATATTTTACCTAGTTATGAATCCGCTATTGGTGGATTTACTGCTCCTTATAGAGATGAAAAAAAGATTTATCAAACTTCTTTAAAAGAAACGGTTATCAATACCGGTATAAGGAGGTAATCATATAGAAATTTTTTGTTCTTTATGTGTAAAATATTTTTAAAAAATGTTTTTATTTTTATTTTTTCTTGGTTATAGATTGGAAACGTTGATTCAAGATGTCATTCTTCCGTACTTGAAACGTCATGCTAAACGTGGACATCGACAAGTAACATTTTATTTGACGCCAAGTATAATCACACCTGAAAATCTTACAACGGATCTAACGGATCCACATGAATGGATTCATCTTCCACACTCCTCACAATCCCAATTAACTCGCTCCTTTAATTCTGTTGAGAAAGCTGACGATGAGGAAGATTATGATGATTTGCCTGATATCAAATTTTTGTTACAAAATGATACCTTGGATAAATTACAAGATCTTATTATCACAAAGTCTGGCGTTAAAAAGGTTATTGCCAAACAAACCGAAATCTGTTGTAGAACTGAAAATGAATTCGGTTTATTGTCATCGAAATCTTTTGAAATTATTCAAGTTGATGTGGTGATCATCTAAATATTTTGTTTCAAAATTTAAGTCATATTATCTCCTGCTTATGTATTACGTATTATTTTCAAATTACGCTATTCGAAGATTAGTATTGCGTAATTAATTCTCAATAAAATAAATGCTATTTCTCAAATTGCTGTTAATTTCAGAATATTTCGAAGAATGGAATTTTTTTTTTTTTTTTTTTTGAATTCACAAGCTTTTATTCAAAATACGAACTTCATTGAATAATTTCAGACGCACAATTACGTATGTTAAATCGGAATATCTTTACCGAGTATTCTTTTTTTCGTTCATGATCAACATTAGCTTCGATTTCCACAAAATTTTCCCCTTAAATCCCTTAAAAAGATATTCCTAAATACGTCACTAGTTATTTGAATTATAAATAAATTAAATTATGTCCTTTTTAAGAAATTGACAATCATTTGCAATTTTTTTTAAAGGATGTGTAACAGTCGGGGAAATTTATGGATTTTTTTAAAAGTCGCTAGCCCCTTCTCTTTCCTTCAACTTTCACCTTCATTTTTTTTTTATCGTAACCTTACTTTTTTTTAATCCTTTCTTGTCAAACAGGATTACGAAAATTAACGAATTTGATGTTATAATGAGCTTGTAATTTTATATTTGTTAATACGAGTATCTATCATTGAACCGAGAACAATTTTATTTATCAACAAGAAAAAATTTAAATCTGATTGAAATTATTTTTTTTTTTTTTAAAAAAAAAAGACTTTGTGGTAATCAATTAGGAAAACTATGGATGATTTTTATAAACCTCCATATTCATCACCACCTTCAACAATACCACCAGCGCCAACACGTACACCACCTCCACAGTCAAATGCACCATTAAATCCTTCAACGGCAATATTTAACGCAATATTACAAAACAATGTAGGATTAGTTAGATCGATATTAAATCAAACGCAGTTTAACCCAAATAATCTAAGAAATAAAGATGGGAAGACCCCGTTAATGGTAGCAGCTTGTGAAAACTGCCCTGACGTTGTAAAATACTTGGTTGGATTACCAAGCGTAAACATTGATTTACAAAATAATGATGGTGAATCGGCATTGTATCAAGCCGCTTCGTTGGGAAATGTTGAAGTTGTTAATATCTTGATGAATGCTAATGCTAACATTGAAAGTAGTAATAGAGAAAATATAACCCCGCTTATCATCGCAGCTTATAATGGTCATGCTGATGTTTGCCGTGAACTTATCGATCACGGTTATGCCAATGTGAATTTTCAAGATAGTTCTTCTAAAACCGCCTTATTATTGGCTTCTTATGAAGGTCACGTTGAAACCGCTAAAGTGTTACTAGCTCGAGGTGCAAGTGTGTACAATTCAGATAAGGTACAAACTCAATTTATTTATGTCTTTATTTTGTGATCTTTATTAATTTTTTTTCTTTCTTTTTTTAAAAAAAAATAATCTAAAAGTATGGATGGACCGCGTTAATGCTCGCTGCTTTTTCTAACCGAGTAGAAATGTGTCGGTTGTTGTTGGAGCATGACGCAGACAGATCGGTTACAGCGGACAATGGGAAAACAGCGTCTATACTTGCTCGTGATGCTGGACATTTTGACTTGGCAAACATGATCGAGAATTATGTTCCTAGCGGGAATAAAAATGACAAGAATCTTAATCATAATATTATAAATCATAATAATAATAATAATCATAATAATAACAATTATAATAGTAATAATAATGTTAATATTAAACAACCAATTCCGCCTTCACATACACCTCCTCACCCTCACCCACATCCACAGCCTCATCGTTCGAATGGAATATCTTTTCAAGGATCAGGAAGGGTTCCTACAATGACGCCGCAACATCTGATTGAACAAAATAATATGGTTCAAAACTTTTATCCAGAGATTCCAATCAATAATACAAAAGGATATTTGATTCCATCATATCGTAAAGATTCAAAACGTATTAGAATTCAACGTAAGAATTCAGAACATCTTAATTATACAGAACTTCTTAATTCTCAATATCGTAATAATATTACGGGAAACAATAATACAAATAATGGGAAATATGTAAAGACAACACCGCATTTAAAAAATGAAATGGCACCAAGAGAAAGTAAAACTCCTTGGGTATTATTTTCGTTGGCAGTCACGGCATGTTTTTGTAATCCTTGCCTTTCCACCATTGGTAAGATGAAAGATCCTAATGTACGTCAAGCTTGGCGCGAAAAAGTCGCTTTGGTGGTTATTATCTTATTAATATCATCATTCATGGGATTTTTGGCATTCGGCTTGGCAACCATCGCTTGTGGAAAACATAAAGAAACATTTTATAAAGAAGATGTATTTGAAACATATGGAACGAACCAACAGGGTCAAAAAGCGCATATTATTTATGGCAAACTCTATGATACTGGACAATATATACTTTTTGGTAATCATCGTCCGTTAACGCCTCCTATCGATGATAAAGATTTAGAACCTTTAATATTTCCAACGTTTGGACAAGATATCTCGGAATATTTTCCTCAAAATAATGAAGATTTAGGATGTCCTTTTGCTCCTAAAAATGGTGGACCCATATGTAATAAAGCGATTGAAACGAAAGATCCATTATTACATTGTCATATTTCCAACCATGTCTATGAAACATTAAAGTACCTCGATATGAAAATAAGCGTTTCTTATTCATGGCAAAATATAACTAAAGATAACAGCACCTTGGTTGTTTATAATAATAAGGTATATGATTTAGGAAACTATCTTGATCCTTCAAATGATGATAAGTGGCTTGGAGATGATAGCGTTACAGAATGGCTTCGAGGTCACCTCGGAAAAGATGCAACAAAAGATATTCGTCGCACGATTAGAGGAAATAACATATCAAAATGTTTGCCAAATTTTGAAGTAGGAATCGTTGAAGGAACAACCATCGGATGTTTCGCAAATAGATTGATTATCCTTTTAATGTTAGTCGTATTCACAGGAATTTCTTTGATCAAGTTTATTTCCGCTATAGCATTTGATTGGTTTTTATCATGGCAGCTTGGTAAAATATCAAAGAAACCAAAGACCGATGATACGACTTCACACATTTTATTATTAGTCACGTGTTATTCGGAAGGTGAACTTTCAATGCGCACAACGCTTGATTCATTGGCCAGTACGGATTACTCTGACAAGCATAAATTATTAATCGTAATCGCTGATGGTGACATAACCGGATCAGATAATGATAAATCAACTCCGGAGATATGCAAGGATTTAATTGAACCATACAATTTATCTAATTTCGAGTCACCGATACCACAATCATACTTAGCCATAGGAGAAGGTAAAAAGCAACACAACATGGCAGAAGTCACTATCGGATATTATAGTTGTAATGGACATCGTGTTCCAATGTGTTTGATTAATAAAGTTGGCACACCAGAAGAACGAAAAGGGCTTAAAGCTGGTAATCGTGGTAAACGAGATTCACAGCTTATATTAATGAAATGGCTTAGCAATATATGTTTTAACGAACGTATGACACCATTGGAATTCGAATTATTTGAAAAGGTACGAACGTTAACGGGAGTAACACCTGATAAATATGAGATGATACTAATGGTTGATGCAGATACGCTAGTAATGAAGGATAGCGTTAGTAGAATGGTTGCAGCAATGGAACGGGATCCAAATGTTATGGGACTTTGTGGGGAAACGAAAATAGCAAATAAGAGAACGAGTTGGGTTACAATGATACAAGTATTTGAATATTATATATCGCATCATCTTGGAAAATCTTTTGAATCAATGTTTGGTGGAGTAACCTGTTTACCAGGGTGTTTTTGCATGTATCGGATCAAAGCACCAAAATATGATGGATATTCCGTTCCCATACTCGCAAATCCTGATATCGTAGAATTATATTCTTCAAATACCGTGGAAACGTTGCATCAAAAAAATTTGTTGCTCCTTGGAGAAGATAGGTACCTTACCACTTTAATGTTGAGAACATTCCCGAAACGTAAAATGATTTATGTACCAAAGGCGATATGTAAAACTGTAGTACCGGATGAGTTTAAAGTATTATTGTCACAAAGAAGAAGGTGGATCAACTCTACGATACATAATTTGATGGAATTAATTCTCGTACCACAACTTTGTGGAATTTTCTGTTGTTCCATGCAATTTGTTATATTTTTGGAATTAGTTGGAACGGTTATATTACCTTCTTCACTAATATTTTTGATATATTTGATCATTTCCGGTGCCTTTGGTGTTGATATTACATTACCCTTGATTTTTATTGCCGCCATGTTTCTTTTACAAGCGTTTTTGGTCATATTTACCACACACAAAGTTGTTTATGTTATGTGGATGTTTGTTTTTATTTCGGCCATGCCTATTTGGAATTTCATCTTACCTGCCTACGCGTTCTGGCATTTCGATGATTTTTCGTGGGGTGAAACTCGTAAAATTTCTGGTGAAGATAAAGGTCATGGGGGTGACTCAACTGATGTATTTGAAAGAAATCAGGTTACAAGAAAGAAATGGATTGAATGGAAACGCGACAATAATAATGACAATAATCCTTCAAAGATTCAACAACCGACAACCGTACAAAATCAACTCCCGTCTCAGAGAGTTTTCCCGGGTGGATTTGCTCCTCCAATACCAACCACAATAACATCACCACTACCACCACCGAAACCAGCCAATATTTATAATAACCTTAATAATAATAGTAGCCATAGTATAACGGGTTCAAGACCTATGGGTCCAAGGAGGCCAATTAATTCTGCTGGTTCAAAAAACTTTGACATTAAATATTAGATGATTATTTATTTGATTTATTTTATTTTATTTTTGTATGATATGTATTTTTAAAATTCATCTTTTATATTTTCCTAATCATAATGGTTACTATAAAATCAGATTTGTATTTTATAAAGTTTATTGATAAAGACATTTATATACATAATAAATTGCTCTCTCTCTGTAATATTTGTAGTAAAGATAATATTTATTCGAGGACTAAACTTTTACTTGTCAACGACCCAACCGATAATGATATTATTTAATAATAAAAACTTGTCTAATAAAAGAACCATACAAATTTTCTGTAAAGTATAATATTTCGTGGGGTTTCCTAATATTGTGCATGCGAATCCGCCTAGAATTACATACATCTATTTGGTAAAAAATGATTTGTTAAGAGTGATGATGGTTGAGACGGTATGCGATAATTACGAATCTTTACCTAATATTATAAATATCAACGCAATAGGACTATTAGGATTGTTCGTTTGGTTTGAATGTTAGCACGTACTGTACCATATCAAATGAAACAAAAAGGACATCTATATATAAATAAAAAAGGTATGTTTTAAATTAATATGTACTGAAACGAAATAAATTTATACAGTACGACCTTGAAATGGCAATGTATAAAGAAAGTTTTGAGATAACTTCCACGCATCCTAATAAATTTAACGAAACGGCGAATACTAAAATAAGTTGGACCGGATAAATTCGATATACGATGAAATTAATACACGAGAATTATGTTTCGGCTCTGCATGTCCATGAAATTGTTCTCATTATCAAGATGTTTTTATTATACGATATGAAATATCAATGTTCAATCACAAGGAAAATCTAAAGAAATGTAATAAGGCTTTTTCTATGATAAAGTGTTAATGGAATCTTTATTAAAAATAAAGAATAAGTCGCTGATCCTTTCTCAAGTCGTGTCAAGCGCAGGTAAAGAATGATTCACCAAAAGATCTGGGATTCAGTTAAAAAAGACCAAATGTAAGAATCAACGTTGGAATCGAACCAACCAGAACGACCAGAAATTCTAGACATTCTGTACCATAATTGACTGGATAAAAAAAAATGGGCGAGGCGCCCCAGCCCGACTTCCTAGTATATACACTCGAAGAAAGGTGAACACCTCTATCCTTTTTAGGACTGTACAAAAAAAGAGAAGGGTTTAACTCTTTATATAGTTTCAGACTCGGAGAGGCTCAGTGAATTGATATATCAAGACTACGTCCTCACTCTTCCTCCTGCTAATGCTCGATGAGCATATTGAGGAGAAATAAGCAAAATCGGAACAAGACTTTATATTCAGTTTGTCTCAATTACTGAATTATGGGACTATGAAAAACAAGTGACGTCATCGTTATTCATGCATGCACGTGATAGGTTCGCTGATAATCGTGTCAATCAAAAATAAGCATTCTTTTTATTTTATTTCTGCTAAACTTTGCTGATTTTTATCACTATAATATTATACTCCTCTATAATTTGACTTTTTTTTTATTTATTGATTAAGTAAATTTAAAATTTGCTATGACTATCTTAGAAACAATAATATTTATCCGTCTTCGAGAACTTCGAGAAATAAAGGGAAATATTATGACCCGCGTAATTGATACAATTTTCAAGGTGGATCAAAGTGAAAATTTATTCTGCTTCGTTTTATGACAAGAAACTAATAAATTCATAACTGATTCCAAATAAATTTGTTCTTCTCACGTTAAAATGGTGACAAAAAAATATGAAGTCTTCGAGTGTGTTGTTAAATAAACATTTTGGAATTGGCGCGGAAGACAATACATAATGGCGAACGGAGATTTGTGTGATTTCTCTCGAATAGTTCCATTTTATTTATTTATTAGGTACTAAATTTTAATAAATTTATCATAGCTAAAAACACTCATTAACGCCCCCAAAATTTCTTGCTTCCACTAAAATTTACAAGTTGCTAAAAATGGAAAAATTATGTAATGTAGATTACTTTTTAAGGAATTAACAATCGAAAGCAACCTAACTGCTAATATAAAATAAAATACTTGGAGATTATTGAGATATGATCATCAAGATGATGTAAATATTACACGGTTTAAACCTTTTTTTTTTAATTAAACTAAGATTTTGATTCCAAACTTCGTATAGTATGGGAAAAAACCTTAATAAGTAATTTTCAAGTTTATTCGGCGAACAATTATGGCGCAGTACTATTGAAGGATCATCATATATATATCACGTCAAAAAAAATTGATAATTGGTTTTTATTCTTTCAAGGAAGCAAATTTATTAACTATTAAAATTTGATATAGAAGAAATTCTACATAATTTAATCCAATTTGAAATCAAATAAGAGGGATTTTTTTTATGGTAAGAATTAAGTCCTGAGGATTCTTCAGTTTATACACGATTTTTACGATAAAAATCAAAGAGACTCAATATATTGAAATTGAAATGCTATATGAGCGACATATTCTTCACGATTATCATTAGCGTGAAACCTTCCTCCACCTCCAATAATTCCTGATAATCTAAATTCATTATGATTTCCAAATGGGCCAATTTGTACAGTTCCAGTTATTGGAACATCGGGTATTCCGATTGGTCCGGTAGATTTACCATCATTAAAAGTAAATTCTATAACAGAAAGAAGTCCACGACCAAACTTCAGATTGATAGCAACGATATATTTCGAATGATTATCTAGATCTGAAACTATATGTTCACTTCCACCTTTTCCACCAATTTTCTTTCCCGCTCTAGAACTTTCATCATTTCTAAGTTCTTTATAATAAGCTTGAATAAAGTCAATTACAGTACCATGTCTTAATATAATTTTTGTGATAATTCCAGGATCATCTTCAGATAAATTATAAAGAAATCTATAATTATCTTCCAAATTATGTGAACCATCAGGAAACGTATCAATTCCGTATGGACCAACCCAAAAACTTGATATATTAAGAGGCTTAAGATGCCAAGGTATTTCAGGAAAGAATTTGACTAATGAAAAGACGTGTAAAAAAATTTTCATAAATTCTGCCTTGGCCTCATTAAACATTCTTAACTTGATGAGATCAAAGACTTTAAAAAAGATTTGATCATTTGAAGATTTTGCAACATAATTAACTAGCTTGTTGCTGATATTATCTCTAACCTCACCATTAGCAAGAATAGTAAGGAACGATGCTGAATTTAAATCATTTGAAATCGAGGTTTTTGTTGTTATTTGATTCATCCTCCACGTAAAGAATTGATGAAACGAATCCGAAAAATGGTTTTTATAACGAGAAATAATTCTTTTCACCTCATCAACGTTTGACTTTTTAAACAAAATAATGAATAATGTTAATAATAAATAAATAAAAATTTTTGAATCAGGAAATGTATGTATGTATGATTACCATTTTTAATTTAAAGGATTCTCTCAAGACGGTAAGATGTACGATCGCAAAAGTAATAGTGAAAGGAATTAGATGAAAGATTTTTTCATTTTTCAAAAGACTTTCGAAAAACAAATTGCATTTCTCAACAAGGTTTGAAATAAGAATGTCTCGATCATCCTTTTGAATGACTAAATATTCTAAAAGCAACCCTTTAATAAGTCGCAAATTTTTGATTTGTTGATCCATTTCTGTATCAATGATTTCTTGACTAATAATATCTTTCACTCTACCCTTAATTGTTGTGAAAATATCATCTTGTTTTATAATCATTCCTTCGTCATTTTCTAAAATGAATAAAATGACTAGGGTTGATAACAAAGATAAGTTTGAGAATACCTTAATTGGTTTGTTAACATTTTTATTGTGAAGAACGGACATAAAATCATCGATTCGTTCGTCCCACGAATAATAGTTCATTTTTTATTTTTAGTGATTTTTTTTTCTTTTTTTTTTTAATAAAAAATAAAAAATAATTTTTTTTTGCGTTTATTTATATTATTATTTCTCTCCTACAATTATGTCCGACTTTATAAGTAAAATAATCAATATGCAAAATATGTAACAATTTTTTTTGCATTATCATCAACTAATCATGGGAATTAAATTTAATGTATTTTCTGGAATTCCAGAAGTGAATTCATTTTTCGTTCTTAATGATATAGTTCTTCTTTATATTAACTTGTATAATTTTCTATCCATTCAATTTAATTTTTATTCCCACATTCTATTTATATAAAAAAACTTATGTCAAAGAATTAAAATATGTTCTAAATCCTTTCTGATAACGTACAACGAAATAATTATAAATGTTACATGATTTTATCTAATTGAAGATTTTTATTAAAAAATATACAGATTCGGTTCAAAATAAATCATGGTTTCGTTCTTCGATTGTTCGAAATTCGAAAGATCAATATAATTAAATTTCTATTGATAAAATTACGCTTTTCTTTAATTTATGCGATGAACAAATAATTCATTAATCACCTTAATCAGGTAAATTCATTCATTGAATATAATTTTTTTTTTTTGAAAAAATAAAAAAAAAATCTTTTAAGTTTCATAGCATAGCATAAAAGAAATGATTTATATACTTTGCAGAATTATATTCCTAGAAAAAGCCCGTTTTGGTTTTAAAGGATCGGCAGACAATAAAAGGAAAATCCTCAAGGATTGCAATATTGGCTGCACTTTGAGTCCTCAAGTCTAATATTTTAGATGATAACTAATTGTTTCATTAGAAAAGCTTCATAATGGCACAAAACTTCATTTGGTAATACCAAGATTTACAATCAGCATTTACAATATGTAGTAGATTAAACATTAATAAATATAAAGCCAATGCCGCAGTGAAAATAGGATCCTTAATGTTAAAAGGATTTTTAGTTTTCTACGCACTCTCACGAAATGTAGGATGATTATTATAAACCAAGATTTGCAATTTATCAAATATAGTTGAACAGTATCAATATTTATTGTTTTAAAATAAAATAGAATAAATGCAAATTAAAAATAATCGAACAAAAAAAAAATTCAATATTCTTAATGGGCGGAATTAAATCCTAATTAAAAAAAAAATCATTACAATACATCATATTTACTTCCATACTTTCTTCCACCTCTTTTACGAGGTCTTCGTTGTGACGATGATGGCTCCGCAAAAGAACTTGAATTAGATGGTCCCGCAAAAGAATTTGAATTCGATGAAAATTGTTGTTGTATTGGTACGGATGATCCCGCAAAACTTGATGAAAATTCACTATGGGATGCAGACATGGATTCGGTATTATCGATTTCAGATGAGTCAAATCTGCTCTGATTCAAATTTCCAATCCTATTATTTCCTCCCGTTTGTTTATAACTTTTCATAATTTCCTGTTGTAAAGTTAAATATTAAATTAAATTAATAATTTTGAAAAAATAAAATAACAGATTTTTGATCATTACCTCAAGTTTAGAATTAACATAAATATAAGCCTCATAAATATGACACACTAATAAAGAGTCAGGAAATGTTTCCAATAATTCTTCTGAAATATCAGCTGGCCACAAATTTAATCCTTCATCTGTTATATAATAATTTAATGGGACTTGATCCTTATTAAACTCCTTCAAAAATCTTAACATAAACCTTTTCAAAGCAATAGCAAATACTTCTGCCGGTATACGTTGTGTGCCCATTGAAGATCGTTCGAATTCAACTGCTGAATCAATTTCACCCTTCACTTCTTCTGTGAGTTCAACTTTGAACTTATCTTCTACATATTTTATTACGGAATTTGCAACTTGATCTTCAATCAATTCATATAAAGCTATTAAATGTTTGAGACATAATCCGATATTTAACAAAATTTTGAATGATTTGCTTTCCAATAATACAGATAATTTCATCCACTGATTAACATAATCCAGGATTTTGGTCTCTTCATTTCCAACCGATGTGCGTTTTACGAAGCAAAGTAAAACTTCTAGAGAAGAAAGGATTTCAGACGCATTATCATAAGATAATGAACTAAGGTTATAACGGTTCCTGTTCGTTGCTCCCATAATCAAGGAAATCTTATCGGATGAGATTTTCGTTTGAGGTATTAAAGATTTGATATCACCAAGGATTCTCATGTATCCTTGGAATAATTCCATGTGATAAGAAAAAGTTTCCATGTATTCGTGTGAATCTTTCAAAGTATCTACATGAACTTTTTCAAAAACTAATCTACGTGCAAGTTCCGTTTCAATTTTTTGTAAATCGTAGATTACATCTTGACCACGTCCAACTTCAAGGTTACGATCACTATTTTGGAGAATATTATCATCCCATTTGTAATTTATAAAATTTTTTTGTTTTGTTTGATCGATTCTTAAAGATTGAAGATAATAACGAGTAGGTCTTTCTGTAGGATTGGCATCATATGTTCTTGATGAGGAAGATGTAACAGTATTTCCCAGAATAGAATAACGCTCTTCCAAGAATTGAAGTGCTTTAGTAGATCCTATAGGAATCGTCAATACTTCTTGCAAGAAATTATTTTGTAATCCAATCAAATATTCCAGAATAGAGCAAAGATAAACGCCCGAATCCTTTGGCTCAACCAAAGCAAATGCAATAGGTGATTTCATGTTTATATTAGGTTTTGGTTTTGGAAGGTCGTGACATTGGTATTGATCAACGCTACCAATAACCGCATTCCAAGCATTGGCAAATTCATTGAAATTTAAAGTCAAGTATTTAAACACCTCTTCATATTCTCCATCATTAGACTCTTCGTCTATAAATTGTTTGAATGTTTTTACTTGTGCTATTTCTCGACTGACACGATATACAAGTCGTGATGATATTATTTGAACAAAATTCACTATCGGCCAAAGGTATTTGACTTCTTCTAACTTATTAGAATACCTAAAGAATACTGAAATAAACGGATAACGTGATTCATTTGTTTCTGTATCTGAATTGTAAAAAGCACGAAAACCTTGAAAACTCGTAGTTCCTATAGATCGCCAAAGCCTTGGTAAATAATCACGCATGTATTTCTCTGGCATTGGTATTGTTTGATTAATTTCTCTTTCTAAAAAGTTCGAATTCTCTTCAGGTTTCGTAAGTTTTACACGGAATTCAGTAGTTGTAATTGTGACATTTTTAATTAAAGGCAAAACATAATGTCGCGCAAAGTACGTTTCCCATTCCTCACGCTCTTCAGGTGTCTTCAAACTCGCATTCTTGGGTGGTGTTATAAACATTCTATCAAGAATTGCATGTAATAAAAGAGCTAAATTTTCTTCAGAGCAATTCAAAAGTTTTAACAGAATTTCCCAATCATTCCTGATATGTCCCATACAATATTCCACACTATCGTTTGCAATATTATTGATTTTTAGTAAAAATGTATTTGCAGTACCAGAAGGTGCCCAAGCTCCTATTATCGAATGAACAAACAAATGAAGAATTCTATAAGATGTAGGAGATACATTTCGATGATTATGATTGATATCCCTATTTAAATCTTCCCCAATATATCCTTTTTCGTCCTTTGAGCTTATGGGTTTCTTAATTGGACTTTCATCTAATTTCACATTTCCAACGTCGGAAACATGGTCCTCACCACCAATAGAATTATTACATTCGGGACATTTACCTCTCCCATTGGCTTGTCCACAATCACCGATAAGGTAAAGATACCCACATTGGCATTTATATCTATTAAAGGAAATAATTAATGATGGGTTTAATGACTTTAAAAATATAAAAAAATTAAAAATGTAATTTATTCTTACCGCGTGATATTGCCGCTTTTCTGTATAATACTTAATATCAGAGATTCTACATCCGACGGGCAAGTGAGAATATACAAACCACTACAGGAACTCAAATTATGTAATAAATACGCTAATGGTGACGCATCCGCTTGAATAGATGAGTGCAATGCTATAACGTGCCCAATGACCGATTTAATTAATAAATCGGTGTTACTAACATTCGTATCAAGATACAACAAAGCATGTTGATTTATGACCACGTCTTTGATAATTTTCTTGTAAATATTAGATAAGGAATTTATATTCTCAATTTTTTCATTCAAGAATTCCGCAGCCTGATTTTCTACATGAGACCATTCTTTTGTTGCCCTTATAACATGAAGTCGATTAAGGATTCCTCCCATAAATGCAATCCTAGAGTCCGCTTCTTTTTTCTTTGACATTTTATTAAAGAGTTGATTAAATTGTTCTTTATTATTATAGCTACAAAGCATCGAAAGGTTATTTTCCATATTATCATATACTTTCAAGGAATGGTAAACATTAAATGGCAATCGGGTTTCTTGACTATTATCCCAAGATAAAGTGTTCAGCCATGGTAAGATATATTTTTGAGCCTGACAAAATTTTCTGACATCATCCATAGAATATTCTCTATTACGTAAATCTCGAAGAAAGTAAATTTTTAATGAATAAATTAAAGGATATTCTAAACCCATAAAATCATTAATTTGGACGATTAAATTTTTGAAATCAAAATCATCAATTTCCATGAAATCCAATTCTACGGGTTGTAACATTTCATCTTGGATTGTAGAATTCCAAAATTTGCAAACAAATTCTTTGAGGAATGCAATCGCTGTTATTTTTTGTAATCCTTCGACACCATTAAAATATAAAGCTTCAACAGCGAAACGGAAATAAGGCGATAATTTAATTAGATCATATTGTGTGAAAAATGATTTTTGTATAATGTCACAGAATAATGCTGCCATTGTAGAGTGACAACCTTTAGTTTCAAGACAATTATTTATGATTACAAATCTTTGTGAATTTAACACCCTTCTAGGATTATCTAAACATGAAAAGAAGTTGAAAGTCTCGTCTTTATTGCTTTCTTCTTCAATAACACTCTTAATGATTTGCCCCATAAGAGGGAAGGGTTCATCCAAGAATAAAATATGATAAAGTTCCAACATAGATTTTGAATCAGATGGAATAATTTCTAAACTCCTCATGATGAAAGATTGCTTTGCAAACAATATTGCGTTGGATTGATTGAAGTTTTCAAGAGCTTCAAAAACTTTGACGATGAACTTTGTTGAAAATATTTCCTCTCCCTCTCCAACCTTGCTAATTTCCTTAATAAACTTCAATGGAATTAGTTCGGTTGTTAATAGATCATTACAAATTTGTAACAATTGAAAAGGTTCGGTCTTGTTAAAATTTGTAAGTTTTTCACAGAGATTCAAAATATTTCTAATTTCGAGTTGTATTTCAACAATCTCCTGATTCTTCTCCAGACATTTGTTAACCTTTTTAAGCATCAAACTCGTAACTTCATTAACGAGATGTTCTTCAAAATTTTGTGTATTTATAACATCATGATTACCCATAATAATATCATTAAGAATTACGGGACATGCGTGAATAAGTTGAAATTCCGCTAAAGTAGCAACAGAATTTTTCCACCAAAATATATGTAAAAGGACAGGGTTTCGAATGTTCTCTTTAAGTTTACATTTGAAAATATATGATAATACAGATATATTTTTGACACTAGTTTCAGTGTTACAAATTACATTAACAAAATCCTTGAAGTATAATTCTGAAGCATCCCCCATCGGAGACGATTCCAAAAGTGTTATGGACTTAAAGATCTTTTTGGTAAAATTTTCAACATAATCCTCATAAATATAGTTGTGCAATTCTCCAGTATCAGCATTTATGTTTTCTGAATCTTTACTAAACATTGACAATTCCTCTTCATACAAAGTTTTGAAATTATCAATTTGGTTCATAAAGTAAAATGAAAATGGAAATTGTAAATAGAAAACGCTAACGGGCATTGTATATATATCTGGCATTGGTTCAGGCAATGAGTCAATATTGATAACATTATTATCCATAAACATGTCTTTCCAGAATTTAAGAAATTGTTCGCTTTGTGGTGACATTGGAGATTCTGGCAAGTCATGAAGAAAGAATGTCTTTGTAACTCCTAAGCGTTCCAAAGTACACAAAATCTTTGCAATAGGACGACGAACTATTATACGGATCTGTGCCTGTAATGCAATGGCAAACGAAGAATGTGGATATAACAACTTTTTGTTGGACGCGACTTTATATTGCCAATCTTGCTTAACGTTTGTTTTCAACCACTCCTGTGTTCTTAGTTTCAAACAATTTACGAAATTGGGATGATCTAAAATATATTTACTCAAATATCTAGTTTAAAAAACAAAGTTAAATTAAAAATTAAGTATATCTTAATAGATTCAACATTATTGGAAGAAAATAACACTTACTTGACATGATTAACGGATTTAACATTGTTTGGGTACTTCATACATAGCAAACACCATAATAATTCATGTTTCAGTATCTCTTCAAACGGATAAGTTGCCTCAATGATATCACCCAAGTCTTGTTCTAGTAAAACAGACAACGGTCTTTCGTGCTTTGTCAATGTTTCAATAGTGATTTGTTTCCATCCACACATAAAGTTGAAAGAAGTTAGATTCTCGTTATTTTCTCGTCGAAGGTGAAGAATAATGCAAGCATGTTTGACTTTAATATCCTTATTCTCTCGTCCTTTTTTTAAATACTCATGTCGGCATTGTTCAATAATAAACTTGGCTAATTTGATACACTCCGCATTTACAGTTGTGATATCACACTGCAATGCTAACAATTCGGAACTTGAATTTGGATCGAGCCAAAATCGGTTCATCTGCTTTTGAAATTGAGCTTCTGTTTTGAACGTCGAAAGCTTCATAATATAACATCTTGTGGTTTTCTTTAAGCAGGATACGACATCTGTGTTGATGTTGGAAAATGTGTTGATTATGGTTAAATGACCATTTTGACCTTCATCCATACTCTGTTCATGCAACAAATCCTGAAAATAATCTGCTATATCGTTATGATGTTGAACTTGGAAATAGATATTTTTCCAGTGTTGAATTTCATCAGGATCTAGGGGGGATTTATCAATCCGGACCATTCCATCAGATGTAGCAATTGCGACTAAAGCATCCTTGCATTTTTCAAGGACTTCTGTTTCTCCAATATCAGGGAAGTTTTTCTTGATATCAATGATTAGACTTTGCAATGTTTCTTCTTCATTAAAGCCAATAAATAAATCTTTTCGAGTAAATTTATGTTGAGATTGTATTGATCCCGCCATCGTTGACATTTGTCGCGTCCATTCTTCCAACTGCGAAACTAATTCTATGTCCTCTTTGCTAAGGAAATCGTTCATTGTCATCCTTTGCTTCTCAAATCTATTTAAAAGTGGTGGATCCGCTTCTTTTAACTTTTTTTCATCGAGAACCAGGATGCACCTGAAATCAGGATGAACATGCCTAAAAAAAATATAATATATTATGTCTTATTCAATATAAATGATTATCATTTGTATATTCTTAAATATGACTTACAACATAGGATTTGCGTAAGCTCCTAAGGCAACTCTCGTGAAATATTTAGGATTATCAGAGCTACCCATTGTAATATAATTTTGGTTCCATAAATCGTAAAGACTCCCTATAAAATAAATAAACAATTTATTACTCTATACTTTAACATATCAATAACGAATAAAAGAATAAAATTTTACCATAAATAATCTCCAAATCAGTTAAGATCAAAGATCGTCCGGCTTCAACACACATCTTAATATGCACAAGAAAATCAGATAAAAGCCAAATTCAATATTTAAGAAATATGATAAGTATTACTCACCATTATCCTGCTCAATATACTATAAGAATAATCGTCACGGTCTTCCGGAAATTGTGATCCCAATATTACAACGGGATCATCTAACTGATATGACAACATATTTACAATGGAATCACCTTTTCCTATTACCATTAAATGTCTGGAACCTTCACTTTTAAGATTCTCATTAATTAGAATATTGATTGGTTTTGGGTTATACGTCCAACTTTTGTGATCATTGAAGGACTTAATAACAGGTTCGAAAGATTTCAGACAATTTTTAGTATGTTCTTCGATGCCACCAAAATTCCTCGCTAATGCTAAGTGAATATTGTCCGGAATCATCTCCTTATTTGAAAGGTTCTTTACTAGAGCGTAATAATCACGAAGTCCATGAAAATTTGGAAAAACAACTTGTCCATTTGCTTCGTATTCAGAATATGCTTCTGCGAGAGGTTGAAGCGAAGCTTTATAATTTTTGATCTCGAAGTTTGAAATTTCCAAGTTGTTTTTATTCAATAAACGAACAGCAGTTTCAACAAGATCTTCCAAATCAAACTTTGGTCTTTGCACTAATAATGCTCTACTACTCTTGCTGTTGTCCAATCGCCAATTTGAAATTCCGACTACCGAAACTGTAGGTCCATCAGCCGGATAGCTTGGCTCCAACAATGAGTGAAGAACTTTCAGAGGATTATAAGGACTGGTTTCAGCCAACCCAACTAAAAAAAAAAAGAAATATTTAAATTGAATCGGTTTTCAAAAATGAAAAAAAAAAAATACTTCAAAGATACAGACCTTCATCAAGTAAAACGACACTAATCACTGGAAATTCATTAGAACTTGTCTCCTGATAAGCTTTGGCTTTTTGAAAGACTTTTTCTATACCATCAGAAGTAGATGATGAAGAGCCTTGATGGGGGATAAAAAATACTTGAGGTAATTTTCTAAAGAATACATCATTTGAATCAAAACCCCTAAGATTCTGGTGTACAAGTCGGATTGCTAGTGACTTTGAAGAACCCGGCGAACCCACAATAAAGAGTGGCACTTTACATAATATACAAACAATAATAGCCAATACATTCTCCAATAATGCCTCATTGAATGCAGTATTTGGCGGACACGTCATCCTTGTCATATAATCTATTTGCTCTTCCCTTATAATCTCGTTAAAACGGGGTTCATTTAAATTTTTATACTCCTCGATACGAAGAAAGATCTGACACATTGTTTCACGATATCTCTTTCTTAATTCACGATCATATAAGCGAGACATATAACATAATCCTAATGCTAAAATATAAGACCGAGTAACGATGTCCGGTGAATCACCAGGATATATATTATTCTCTTTTTGACGGGTTTCAAGAGTTTCTTGGAAAAATTTGACCAATTTAATGGCTCTTTTAACATCACGTAAACTTACACTATATGGCTCTTCTACATTACGAATAAATTCTTGTGATGCAAATAGTAATTCTGCAAGTATGGAACTTCCAAATGATCCTTGTACCATTATTTGTATATAAGTCTGTTCATCTTTTGGCTGCAATCTACCATAATCCCATACGTAATCTAAGATTTGGTCTGGAAGAGGTTTAACTTCATAGACGAGGCAACTTCGTTCTTCAAATCTAATATTGTTCGTTTTTAATCCAACATTACTAACACTTTTGTTCCGAATACGATATGGATTACAGGCTGCAAAAAGTCGAATATTTGGATGAATTTGCTTTCCGTCAAGCATTCGATGAGCAATAAGATCTGCCAACAATCCTATATGATTACAAGTATTGATTTCATCAAAAAATAGCCATGTCTCTTTAGCTTGTGCTTTTTTATCAAATTTTCTCATGAAATCCTTGATATTTTGCTTTGTGATACCAGCATGAATATTAAGTGCGCTAAATTCCACTTCCACAACTTTGGCCAAGAAACCGATTAGACTTGTCTACGAAAAGATAAAAAAAAAAAAATATGAAAATGTGCTGCAAAAATAGAATCAAATATATGTTGTTAATAAAAGGTATTACCTTGCCGCACCCTGCCTCACCGCATACAACTACAGGAATATTAGCTCTTGTTCTCAACAACATCAATGCCATTTTTAGCAGATTATCTACCGATAAAGCATATGGTGGATATTTAATATTATGCATTGTTTTGCGTGCTAAACGTTCTAAAGTCAATAATAATTGTTCCGATGACATTGTGTGATAATCTACTAAATTCCATTCCTTTTCGATATCTTGACTTTTTAATAAATTTTGAACATTGATTGGAACTTTTGATTTGTCGCGATATAAAGCACAAATCGAGTCTGGGAGTTGAGACATAAAAAATACCAAAAGATGATTAGAATCATCCCATTGAACCAAATTCGCTAATTCTTGCTCCTCTTGTCCTTGATCTTGTGTAACTGCTTGTAATTGTGCAGATTTTGTCTGAATTGATTTTGTAGCAAAATCCTTTGAAACTTGGAGTAATGTATCAAATAATGTTGTTCGGATATTGGTTTCTTGAGTCATCAGACTTAAATGATGAACTTCAAAGAATGAACTTCCAGATAATCTAATTAATTGATCTGCGAAAACATTTATAAAAATTTCTAAAAAACGAAAAGATGAAATATTAGAATCAATTCTTTGAAAGAAGTATTTATCCAATAGTTTTTGACATAATTTCGGTGGAAGCGGTGTTCTAACAATGTTTTCATTGTCGGTGGACAATTGTGGTCGGAATAAAATATCTTCCCTATCAAGCTCCAACTCTTCATAACTATTTAAATAATGACAAACAACTTGAATTGGACTATGTATTTCTTGGGATACCATCAATCTATTAATATGCCATATTAAATTGGGTTTATCTAAACAACTAATAAATGGAAGGGATTTGAGCAAGTGTTGATCAACACTAGAAGCTATCTCAATAAAAATGTTCGTGTTTGGAAGGCTTGCTATATCTGTGTTATTTGAAACGATTCCCAAAGTTAATAGTTGAAATAAAAATAAATTAACTTCCTCAGGGTTATCAGCGGATATTATGTTTATATGAAGGCTATCAAAATCTCGAATACGGAAATCCCTAAGCTGTCTTGTAAGTGAATTATAACTTGCTCCGTCACTTATGGGAAAAGTTTTAGGAATTAGGTGTTTTCTATAACTCTCTTGTTTAATCCATTCGGTTTTTCCTAGTCCAGATAAATCCGAAGTTACGCACGTAACATCTAAACATATTTCGCGATAAATCGCTTTCATTGCTTTAGTGCTAAGTCCATTAGAAGGATGAACATTTTCAGAAAATTGGTCCAAAATATGATGATGCACGCCAGGTTCGGAATAACATATCAATGCTAAATAGTAATCATTTACTTTTTCCACAAGAGATCTTATATTATTCACTAAATCATATTGTAATTCGAAATCCAGTGACTCTAAATTCGCAATACAAAATAAATGATTTTCATAACCATGTTTCGATGCAAAAAAACATCTTTTGATAAATATTGAAAGTTCTTCTTCTGTAGTTGATGTCGTACACATTAAAAGTTGCCAAGGTTCTGGATAAGATCCATGATTGGCATAAAATGACATTATTATATTAGGAACTTTCGATTTATCATCGCAAGCTGCGACAAATAATTCTCCACGTTTCACTACATCTGAAATTATGCGTTCCCCAGAATCTTTTATTGGTCGTGTTTGTTTTTGAAGGGTTCCAAATATATTTTCCAATCTTTCACCAATCTCTTTTAAAATAAGATAATAATCGCCTTTCCTACAACTAAATCCTTTACTTTTTAGGTGATTTGGTAACTTTGCTTTTCGATTGACAAATGTCACAAGTATATAACAAGTTCTTGTTATCTCAAATTGTCTACCGGTTTTCAAATAGTAATCATAAAATGCTAATATATGTCTTGCTGGATAAAAAGTTAGATAATAAAAATTTTTTTGTGCTCGATTAACGTCTTTTTCCCTAAAAATATAATCAATATTAATAACTAATATTAAATTGAAAAAAAAAATTAATAAACAATAACTATGCTTACCAGATATCCAATTCTTTTTTTAAATTTTCTACTATTTTGTCTAATTGTTTGGTGCTTTTAGCTTTTTCATTATATTTTCGATATCCAAAATGACCTAATTGTGTTAACTTTTTCGCTAAAGTAATTATATTTTGAGCCAAATCAACTTGCGTTACAAATTCATCCATTTTGTTCTTGACATCATCAACTTGTCCAAAAGAGCCACCAGGCTTTGAAATTAAAAGCGCTCTGCCACGTAAATCTTGTAACTCATTTATACCGTACTTCATCGTTTCTGATTTAGAAACATATGACAATGTCAAAATGCATTCCTCATTCTTTTCCTCTTTAACAAATTCATATGTACCAATATTTACAGCATTTTGGATCTTTTCCTTTGTAACTTCACCACGATTAGATATGGTATTATACATATTTTGCAAAGCCATATTATAGCTATTACATAATGTTAATTTACTCGTTGCTGAAGGATTTTGGTTAACAATCTCATTTAACTCTTTCACAAACGCGTCCAAAGTTAAATTTGCTTTAGTCATTAATGGATTCAAGAATTGCTTAACTTGAATAAGTGAAGAAACTGTATCTTCTTGAATCAATCTTGTATCCGAGTGCTCGTCGACACCATTAATCAAATTTTTCATGTCATGTTCTGCTATAGTTGTTAAGAATCCAATAAATTCTTCGGATTGAGACAATTCCTTAATCAATGCCCAAATGTTTGGATTGAATTTATAAAATTTTTCATCTAAATTTTCAAAGGAAATACTTAATGTACTCAAATTTAAATCTTGATCATTCAAACTTGAAATCTCATTTCCAAGCCAGTCTTGAGACACTTCGAAAATCACAAGTAAAGTTGATAAATATTCTAAACGTTCAATCCAAACTTTAACTTCGGAAAGATACCTAATCGTTCTCATGAATTTCTCACTTTTATCAATTGTTCCAATTCGACTCATTAACTCTATTTCATCATCGAAATTAGAAACATTTCGCCAAAATGAAATTGCCTTGGAATATTTGAGTTTTCCCCAATTTTCGTAATTCTTACATATATCATTATAATCTCTCACAATATCTTGCATTAATTTGTTTGCTATAAATTCAACCCCTATCTCTTCATTTGATTCATAAAGGTTAAATTGTTCTTCAAAAACGTTATAAAATGTTTGAGAATTGTTGAATTGATCTGTAACATCTGCTGTTGCCATGATCCCTTTATGAAAGCTCCAATGTTCTTCTGATAAAGATTCTTTTAGTGAAACGTGATCCAAATTTTTGCTTCGCTTTCTTAATTCATCAAGATAATTTTGCACATCATTGGCTTTTTGATATGGACAAAATTTTTTATAAAAATTGTCAAGTTTTTTCAATTTTTTTTCATAAAGTTGACAATCCTGACGAACTTTAGCCAATGTATCTACAGTAATTATTTCTTTATCATTTCTGATAAAATTTGCAGAATTTAAATAATAATGAAGTTCATCATTGTTTTTTTTAAGTAAATTCTGAAGAAGAAGAAGATCGATAGAACTATCATTAATCATAGTAGTTAACTTGATAATGGCTTTTCCAGCTTCTTGCACAAGTGAGTGAGAATGAAAATTTTCAGTATTTCCGGTTGCTCGTAAGATTACAATCCAGAAGTTAGACTCAAGTAAAGTCAAATGAAGTTGAGTGAAGGATAAATCTGAAAATTTTGATGATTTTTTTTGTAAGCAGGACATGATGTAAATTAAGATTGTTTCACACAACCTAAATATAAGAAAAAAATATGTGTATGTATCAATATATGTATTATATTTATTAGAACTAAATAATAATAATAATAATAATAAAATTAATAACTTACTCATTTGGGATCTCTAAATTGTTACACGTACAACCACAAACTGTTTTCATTTTCTTTAATAAAAATTCGTCATGGTTTATTGGCATAAAATCAATCTTTCCTTTAATAACTCTCGTAAAAGCGCGCCACACTAATTGGTCAAACTCTGCAACTCCAACTGTAGCAGCAAAAATGCTTCTTTCCAAACATTGGTTGATACGATAGGACGTCATATCCATTAATTTATCCAAGATGGTTTGATCATTAATTACTGAACAGACCATTGACAATTTCTTAAAAACTGAGGTTATAAATTCTACTTCACGAGCGGCTGAATTGGATGATATCTGAGACATTTTTTTAAGAAGGTTTTTATACCATTGGATACAAATTTGAGTTATTTTCTCATCTTTAGTATCTTTGGATTTAACAATCCAATTTTCTAACAAAAATGGAAACACGCTTAATAGCTGATATTCTTCTAAGTTTGACAAAGTTTCCAATACGATAATATATTCATCTTTTGTCCAACGTAAATTTGCGGAATTTAAAAGAAAATAAAGCGAATCTGAACGAGATTGTTCCCAAATTGAATTACGGCTAGTAGTCAATAAATGAAGAGTTCTTTCTCTAAATGGTTTAGCGACTAAACTTCCAATATCTTCGGGAATCTCGATAAAACTTTTGTGTAAACCAACAAGATCATCCTTAGATATATGTTTTTCGATTCTTCCTACCAAATAGGGCTGAAGCTGCGTGTCAAACTTATCAGAATGATTAATTGATTGCCAAATGTTTGAAAACATTTTCATGTTGTTGCATTGGTCAAACAACCACTAAATCAAAAAAGAGTTAATTGATATGATAGACTCATAATAAACACAACCAGAAAATGACAAGTACCTTAAAAACTCTAATATAAGTATTTTCATTCATTAGTCCAAATTTATTTTTCAATATAATTTCGAAACATCTTTCGACATACTTTTCATCACACTTAGCAAGAGATATTGTTTCCATAAACTTATATTGTTGGTCGATTAACGGTGCCAAGGTAAAGATAGGGAGCCAGTCGAGTAATCCGTTATCGATATTGTGATGAATTAAATAGTCAATTCCTTTTAATACGATACGCATATTATCGGATGGGAATGTGGTTGCTTGAACTTTGAAAGCAGTTTTGAGAAAAGAAGTCGAATTAAAATTTTTTGGAAATTCAAATTTTCCAGTAATATTATGACGACAATGTCCTAAAAGGAAACATAAAAAATGCCGTTTAGCAATACTAGTACTCCATTCCGATGCATGCTCGCTAATAAATTGAATATTTGTTTCGGCTAAAGTAAATTCCTGATGCTGTTTTAAAATACTGTCATATTCTAAAATTTTTTCCTTCAAATTTTCTAAACTTACTGAATCATAAATTACTTTCAAGAACATATAATCAGTGACTCGTCCACCGTGAATAGAGTTATTTTTCCAAATATCAAATTGGTTTTGATTATGGATTTCTAGCACACGATTGTCCTTGTCGTTGTTCCCTTCATAATTTACGCGCGTATCGTTTCTTTTACCGTATTTTCTTGATTCCAATACTGCATACTTATATCTAACAACATTTTGAAATCTTACAATTGGAATACGAACAGTTTTCGAATACCAATAAGAAGTGGCTGCATACCGTTGAGCAATACCTCGCTTATATTGATCAAGTTTAACTATAAGTTCATTCCAATTGCCAAGTTCATTGATATTACCAGTTACAAAAAGGTTCCCAGTAATTGCCTTAGGAAAATGCAAATGAAATACTATCTCAACAAATTTATTCTCAGCTTGATCTCGTTTTTCAACAACTTTACCCTTAGCTTTCTTATCATCAGCTTGTTCTCGTTTTTCAACAATTTTATCCTTGACTTGCTTTTCATCAGTTCGTTCTCGTTCTTTACCCTTAACTTGCTTATCATCAGCATGTTCTCGTTTTTCAATAATTTTACCCTTGACTTGCTTTTCATCAGTTCGTTCTCGTTCTTTACCCTTAACTTGCTTATCATCAGTATGTTCTCGTTTTTCAACAATTTTACCCTTGACTTGCTTTTCATCAGTTAATTCTCGTTCTTTACCCTTAACTTGCTTATCATCAGCATGTTCTCGTTTTTCAACAAATTCTCCCTTAGCTTGCTCCTCAACTTGACTTTTTTGTTTATTAAGAAGCCTCCTTTGCTTTTTAGTGAGTATTTCGTTGTTTGAGCTGACATCTGAATTGCCCGCACTCGATTCATTACTTAGATTCGGTTTAATCTGGATCGACTCAGCTGTCATTTCAGTAAATCGTTCTTTATTCAAAGGTTTATGTTCATATTTTGATTTCTCTCCAAGAATTTCATTTGAATCATTAATAATATTTCCTTGTTCTGACATAGTACTCTTGTTCTTGCCCTTATATTGAACATTTGGTTTCTCAGTGCTGTTATATGAATCGTTATGAGATTTTTTAGGATATACAGTTGACGTGGAAGTAACATTACTGTAAACCAAATGTCTTCCTTCAGCTTTTTCTTCATATGCATCAGGTTGTTTATCAATGTAATATTCGGTTTCATAATCAAATTTATCACAAGTTGGATCATTGTTACTGTAAACAAACTTATCTTCGGATTGCTCATCGCCATAAATAAACTGAGTTTTCTCCTCTTTCTCCTCGCTATAGATAAACTCATCGCTTTCGGTTTTTTCATCATCATAAACAAACTGATCATCGTAAATAAATTGAAGTTTTTCATTTTTCTCATCACCATAAATAAACTTGTTTTCTTTCTCAGAAATAAACTCAGTATCCACATCGCCATAAATAATATTCTCTTCAGTTTTTTCATCATTGTAAGTTTTCTCGTCATCATAAATAAACTTGATTTTTTCGCCCTCAGAAGTAAACTCAGTATTCTCTTCGCCAAAAATAATCTCTTCTTCAGGTTTCTCATCATTGTAAACAAATTTGGTTTTCTCATCATCGTATATAAATTCATTTATTTCATCGAACTCCTCATCATAAATTTTTTCATCACCATAAACAAATTTTACTTTGGTTTTTGAACCAGAATTTGGTTTAGGTTGTTCACCTTCTTCATCGTTAGATTTTTGTTTGTTATTATGACTCAATGTGTTATCGATATTAAATTCCATTGTGACAAAACGATATACTGTGATAAAATCGTTTTAATGATATAATGAAATTCAAATCGAAAACTGAATTAAAAACAAGTAAAAGATAGGGTTATTTTATTTTTTATAGTTGGATAAATAGATTATCAAATAATCTAAAATAGCTATTGTTTCCCAAAATAGGATTTTTTAGAAATACTTTGAATGTTATCTGATTTTACGCCCGGATTTCCCGGATTGTGGCTCCATTTTTAAAATTACGTGATTTAAAGGAGCATAGGTTGATCGACAAGGATTCGATTGGCTAAAATCGATTTTGGAGCTTTACGAAAAAAAATCAAGGAAAAGATCATCCATTTTGTTTTTTAACCTTGCTTACGTGAATTCTGAAGACTTTTTACTAAGAAAAGTCCAAAATTTATTAAGTTTAATTGTCTTTAAATTTTACAAACTAAACATATTGCTCTATCTCTCAGATACTTAATAAAAATTAAAATACTACTGGTATTATACCAACCTAGTATTGGGCAATTAGACAGTTTTGAACACAATTTCATATGTCCAAACCTTGTCCAAAATATTTAAAACTAAAAAATAAGTCCAAAACCCATCATTGCTTTAACCTAATATTGTTGTTTAAAACTATAATTCTGTAGTAGAATAGCAACCTTACTCAAACCCCTAACTCTAATATAATCCTAACTATAACTAATCTAACTAATGTCAATTATAACAGCCAATCAAAACTTGGTGATAAATTAGTAAATCCATATAATATATAAGTTTCTTCTAATAGAGGATCAGCAGTCCTTGCTCAGTGGTTAAGCCGCGAGCCCCTATTAAGCTAAAGTTTCATTACACAGCAATAGGCCATCAGTTCAGGTATCGTGCGATACATAAAAACTGTATGATTTTCCATAAGGAATTTCTTTGTAACTGAACAAGTGGGCGTATATACTAATATACGTTAGATTCT